TATTGAGCTTTAACATATTAAAACAAATAAATAAATATTTGCAGTGTAATATAGGTGAAATTAAATTTCCTCGTTTTGATTCTTACTCGATAATATTTACCTGCAATTTTTATTTGATCAGTGCTCTCCTGTTGAAAACTATTTTACGTCTTCTTTAAACATAAATCACGCCCTTTCACGCATGTACACATCGAATGAAGATATATTTTACGTTAAGTTCGATTTGCACACAAATTCAACGAACATAAATTCGTCTTATTCGTGTAAGTGATCCGAAACAGGCAGTGTAAAAATTTTATGACGAAATCTCCGTAAGAATGCACAGAACAGTAAGAAAATCGTGCTAATGGAGTCCGTTTTACTGGAACAAATAAATTTTACAGTTCACTGAGGCGAATTGAAAAGTGTTTTATAGACCAGTCAATAGACTCGTGTCCATTCCGGTAAAATATATTCTTCTGAGGAAATAGATTTTCGCTTTCCATTCAATGACATTGTGTAACTTGCAAGCTGTGCGTCGCGTGTCCATTCATTTTTCTAGAACTATTGGATATATTATTAGGTCGTTCGGAAGATTCTGTCGGATTTTATAGTTTAAAATTTTAATAATCACAACTCCGTCAATAGTTAACATATTTATCGAAAATAAGAACCATTATAATCTAATCACTTTTGCCAACGTTTCACTAATTTATTTACGCCGTCTACGTTTCTTTTCTACAAGCAACAATTTATTTACAGTACTGAAGGACCCCCTATAACGCGGGAAATATAATACAAATTAAGTTCCACCGACGTCGCTTTTTGGGTCAAATTTAATTAACTGAAAAGTACAAAATTACAAATTCAGAGTTTGTATGTTCTTTTTTTCTTTTCTGCTTTCATTAGCCATTTTTTATCGCGTTTTGATCGTGTTATGTAGAGTCCTACTGTACACTGTCCGAAACGAAATGACAGCCATTACGAATGTAAAGAACAAACCTAAATACTATGGTAGACAGTTCGATTTGTTTACATTAGATTCTAACGAAGACGATGCTGTTTCGAAGAAGAAAGATCGACCTGAGGAGTTACCTCAAAGATTGTCGAGGGTTGAAACAGTCAGGCAGGATGCCAGAAAATTGAAGACTGCCACACTTAATAGAATGGGGAAAATGTTTAAACCAAGCTCTCAGACACCTGTTACAGATAAGTCATCCTTACATCTGGAAGGTGGCCTTGTAAGTAATTCAATGTTATGAACAATATACTGTTGCAGTAGATGTTCTTTAATATCTTCGATATATCTATATGTGCACATTAAACAGATGAAGCTTGATTCAAAAGGCTTCAATATTTAAATTCGACGTTCACATTAATTTATGAAAAGAAATTTATTGTAACTCAAGAGCCATCTGGAATGATCCTTAATCGGTTTCTTTGCACACTTTGGGTATTTGTAAATTTTACAATTTGCAAAGAAGGGAGTTGAAATGCAAAATCTTGCGAAAATTAACAATTGTAATTCTGTAAGAGAATAGAATTTCCAAATGAAATTTATAACTAAATTTAACATTTACACTTTTCTGCATCACTTTTACGTTTTCCTTTTCTTTTTTTTTTTTGCTTTTCTTAAGTCTAAAACATGTTACTCATTTAAAACACTACAGTCAAATTTTAAACAAAAACTCTATATTAGAAATTTATTTTATACTCCTCTAGAAGATATAGATCAAAGAAGGAACAAATTTCTCGTTTCTGACTTCTAAACAAGTTTGAAGAATTTTCTAACGTCGAATAAAAAATTCAAATCAAGCAAACGTTTCTAACAAGAAATAATACTGCAATTTTACTTAAAGTGCTCTATTAAGTTGTTTTAATTTGAACGAATTTTGTTTACTTCCGCGTGTAAAACACTATTTTTGTGGTTGATAATAATAATATAAACAGGAAGGGGAAAAAACTTTTTCCACCTAGAATATTCAAATATATTCAAAATACACTCAAAAGTGTTGCATATTAAGAAATACGAACAACGGATTACCGCAGCATGTGCTGGAATAAGTTCAGAGGTGGTAAGACGTGCACGTGATTCAGCCATACAAAGATTGCAACTTTGCATCGACACAAAAGGTCAACACTTCGAACATCGTCTGTAATGCAAGAAAACTTATTTTACAACCACATTTCACCTTACATGATTCAACCACACCGTGATAAAAAAAAATAGCATCTCATTTAAAAAAAATAGGGACGACTTTGAAATCTTCTCTGCGCTTCCACCCACGTAAAAAGTATTTACATTACATGATATGTATATCTCTCCACATCATGCAAATTTTTTATATGACATTTTTCTATATTATTATAAATAACAGAAATATTCCAGATAGACAAAATTTTTGCACCCACCCTGTATGTATGTATAAAATTGTGTAAAAAAATTAATTTGACTTTGATATCTCCTCCACTACTATCTCTCACTTTTGAAAGAATAACTTTTGTAAGAACATCTTTTTCATAACTTCAATACCTCTTGAGATATTCCACTGTTTCCAGTTAATAGGAA